TCATTCAACTGGCCGTGGGTGGGAGGGGGGGGGAGGACTTTAAATCATCCGTTCATGGGAGTTTCAAAACTGCCACATAAAACTTGTCCTTTTTCTCTACAGGTGTCGGTCTACCGATCATTAGACCGATCGGTTCATCCGACCTGTTTGCGCTATCGATCTCCGCTTTATGTACGATCGGAACAGATCGGAATGGAAAATCGGAGCGATTTCATTCCTACGACGGAATTCCTCAAGTCAGAAATCGGAATTCCGATCGAGAGAAATTTTCCAGCTGGGTTTGGGCTGAATTTGTAAACGAGAATAGATGCATCAGTGTTCGTTTAGTATCCAAGGTGGCTAAAAGCATTAAATTTTGATAATTCACATATAATAGTTTCCTATCGACGATAAAGACCAGAATTTTTCATTGATTTTTTGTGTGAAAACTGAAAGATTAGGTCTAAGATACATGTGGGGTTAAAGTGTACGTTCACTGTTCAGTAGTGGCACGCCGCTATCCAATGGAAATCTAGTAAGCTGGATCCTGGAACCAATCAGAGGGAAGTGCGAAATGTTCTCAGGCGATAATAATGTTTTCTGCTTTTAGTTTTAGGGAGGAAGGGACGGGGGTGGGAAGCGGGCGGTAAAGAATAATATAGATGCTTTAGAATATTGCCAGAATATTGCTGCTTGCAGAAGAGTGTGGATAGCTGTTATATAAGTGAACATACTCTTTGTAAAATATTGACAGCAGATTATGATTGCTGGAAACAAGATTACGAGAAATAAAGTTTCTAGTATAATTGTATAAACTTATGGTCATTTATTTTCATATCTGTAGAGGGTGTGCCTGTTTTTTACTATGTTTTCTTTCCCGTTAGTGCGCTGCTATTGAAAAGCTATTTGCATCAAAACAAACCAAAAAAAAAACTGGAGGTAAAAGATGTAGAGATTTGAGTTTAACTATAAATAAATGTATTACTGAAAATTTTTCTTCACGATATTGCCAATACTTATTTTTAATACAGGGAATTGACAGGGAAGAAATAAAAATTCCCAAATAAGTCATTTCAGAAGCAGTCAATTCTTCTTTAATTTGAAGAAAAAAATATTTTTACTCATGGTGTCAAAAATAAAATTTAGCCAATTTTCTCCCCTTTTTTCCTTCTTTCTTTGTTTTTGTTGCATTCGTTTACTTCTTTTGATTTTTTCTCGTTGGTTTCAGAAAGTGTGCCCCCCCATACGGGGGGGGGCATGAGCCCTGTGACCCCCCTTTGATACGGGCCTGACTCTGATGTAATAAAATTGCATTTTAATTTTAGAAAAAATGACAAAGCTTTGGGTTGGTCGACTTTTGGTAGACCAGCAGCTTTCGATTGAAGAGGAAAACAACATTGAAAAATTTGAATCCGTCAAAAAAAATCACAGTTTAACACATTCTCAAAGAGGCAGATTGATGTGTATTTTTACATTATGCAACTTATTTTTTCTAATTTTGCAACTGATTATTTCAAAAAAACAAAAATTGATCGATTTAAAGTAAAAAACACATCTTTTGAGCACAACAAAAATTTAGATATTTCAAACTATGAATCTAACCAGATCAATAAGTCTAACAATAGAAAGGTTTATATCATAAGGTTACAAAGATATCAGAACTAGATAACTAGTGTTATCTTCTTAAAATACATTTCTATTAGTCTTTTCTGTGTTTGTACAGTGTAGTGTATACATTGTACAGTTTACGTACCATTTTCATTTCAATGTTGTACTGTTGAACTGTACAGTATGAGAATATTCCTCAACCTAGGCTAGAGCTCCATACTCATGTACTGTACAAGGGAATTCAGGTATCTATACGGACCACTCTACAATATATACAGTGAGACTCATAAAACTGAGGAATAGTTAGACAACGTGCTAATGCTATCTAAAGTTGAAGATGTTATTAAGCAAATAGTTTTACTAGAAGATGGGTCTGTGTACACTGCACAATTCCTGTGTTTCATGTTTATTTGTCCAACAGAATCCTTAGTTTAGTAAATAAACCATGATATTAAGATTTAGAAGTAAATGGTTATATAGTTATAAATAAATATATAAACAGTAAATAGATAGATAGATCGATAGAGAGATAGTACGACACAATAATAGAAAATATATATATACATAGATTGAAAAATAGAAAGAAAAATAGACAAATAAATAAATTGATAAAAATACATAAATAGATAAATATATTAAAATTGATAGATATACAAATAGAAATAAATATATAAATGAGAAGGGAAGTTGATAGATATATAAAAAGGTAGAAATGAGGAGATAGATAAAAAGCAGGTAGATAGATAAAATATTTCCTATGGTTTAGGTTGGTCTGGTACTAAGGATGGAAGTAATATTTCCTATTGTTTAGGTTGGTCTGGTAATAGGGATGGAAGTTATATTTCCTATTGTTTAGGTTGGTCTGGTACTAGGGATGTTATATATCTCCTATTGTTTAGGTTGGTCTGGTAATAGGGATGGGAGTTATAATTCCTATTGTTTAGGATGGTCTGGTACTAGAGATGGGAGTTATATCTCCTATTGTTTAGGTTGGTCTGGTACTTGGGATGTTATATATCTCCTATTTTTTTAGGTTGGTCTGGTACTAGGGATGGTATATATCTCCTGTTGTTTAGGTTGGTCTGGTACTTTGGAATTTTATATATCTCATATTCTCTAGGTTGGTGTGGTACTTGGGATGTTGTATATCTCCTATTGTTTAGGTTGGTCTGGTACTAGGAATGGGAGTTATATCTCCAATTGCTTAGGTTGGCCTGGTACTAGGGATGTTATATATCTTAGGTTGGTCTGGTACTAGGGATGTTATATATCTCCTATTGTTTAGGTTGGTGTGGTACTTGGGATGTTATATATCTCCTATTTGTTTAGGTTGGTCTGGTACTAAGGATGTTATAACGTGAAACCCTTAATAAAGAATACATCGGAAGAATTTGTCAAATGTCGTCTTGACAATTTTTCAATGAGTTTTATACTATATTACGTAAATTTCCGTATTTGCGAAAATAAATAAATAGCCATGAATATGCGGGAACAGTTTTAAAGAGTTCCTTATAATCATTTAGTTAAAAAACTAAATATCTGCAGTATTCCATTATCAGAAAGTGAAGAATACGACATTTGATGAATTCGTTTGATGTATTCGTTATTAAGGGTTTCACTGTATATCTCCTGTTGTTTAGAATGGTCTGGTACTTTGGAATTTTATATATCTCATATTCTTTAGGTTGGTGTGGTACTTGGGATGTTATATATCTCCTATTTGTTTAGGTTGGTCTGGTACTAGGAATGTAATATATCTCCTATTGTTTAGGTTGGTCTGGTACTATGGAATGTTATATATCTCCTATTGTTTAGGTTGGTCTGGTACTAGGGATGTTATATATCTCCTATTGTTTAGGTTGGTCTGGTACTAGGGATGGGCGTGATTGGACCAATAGTTGGATATAGAAAAGGAAAATCTTTATCCTCTGTCATGCAGTATGCTGTCAAGGTAAAACATGTTAATTTTCTTATTTTATATTTTCTCTATAATACTTTTTATAATACTTTTTAGGGTGGGAAAATCGGTGCCGGTGTGATGATTCCTCTAGGTAATAATTCATTAACAATATGTGGCAATCTCTTACCTCATAATCCCCTCAGATGTAGAACATATTGTGATGAATACAACGAACCCCCATGGGACCCCTGGTAATTCTTCCAGGAAAGTTCGTTATGTACATCTGAGTGTGTTATGAGATATTTAACTCTTCAATATAATTTATCACTGAGTGAAACTATACTTAAACTTATAAAATTAGCGAGATTAATATCGTGTTTTTTTTCAATATTAAACATCGTATATCCCTAATCTGGGGGTTTCAAAATGTGTTCTGCTTTTTATCGTACCTTCAAAAATAAGAGGTTAATTTAATTATACAAAGAATCTTTTTAATTGGAGAAAAAATAGTTTTTTTAAGACTTTTTCATTTGATGCTACATTTACAACATATTTATTTTATGTAGCTCCAATCATGACTGAGTTGACCATTAGAGGAAACGAACAAGAGAGAATTTACGACAGAGCATTCAGGAAATTTATTTTTTGAAATATTTATTTATAAAATTTCAAAGGAGGGTTAGTTAGATTCTGGGACTGAATTTGATGAATTTTAGCCTGGTCGCTGAACTGCTTACCGTGGGATTCAAACACTAGTGCTGCAGTAATTAAGTACAGGGTGTCTTAATAAACATGAGAATTAAATGACGACTTCTAAATAGTCTTTGTTCAACGCGGGATCTTTTTGCAAATATGATTTAGTAGTATCACAGTTAAAACATTAACAATGTAAACTACTATAGTTTATTCCCATGTTTATTGGGATACCCTGTATCATATACATAGGACATGGACAAATCTTGCATCACCGATTCAAGAAACGTGGTTGAACTGTCTCTAGACCTCGCTTAAGTTCATTAAATCAGGTACCTGATGCTATAACTTTCATAATTTTCTCTATATTTATGATTATTTGAGTTTGTTTAGAATAGAAGGAATGTTGATCGTTGATAAAGATAAAGCATAAATATAATCTGTAGTCTGATATAGGATGAGCTTTACGCATGCAGGAGATAACAAAAATATACTATTAAGGAGTAAAAAACAAAACCAAAATTGTCTAAAAATAAAACTGTTTAGATTGCGTCATCATGAAACACAGGTATATAAGGAACTGATGTAACCAGGGCTATGTACAAATTTTGAACAGCCCTTTAATTTTATTTTCACAATAATTTACTTCGTTCCTCCATGCATATTCAATACCATACTTGGGTCGTTCTTAAAAGAGACTTCAGACGTAATTTTAAGTGACCCACCATTTATATTTTAGCAAATCCGATTCACAACGGTACACTTAAAAGCTTTCCCCAGCCCCTATGATTGCATGATATCTCCATATGATTTCTTAGAAAATTGATAATTTTCAATTGTGGTTTCACATGCATGGTCAAGGGACTTTAGCATTTCTTCTGCAGTTAAACAATGGAAGAAATGGTCGGAATAAAACAGTTTTCAGGATAGAAAAACGACAATTTTTCCACGTTATTCATCAGTTCAAGGTTTGAGATACCTTTGATAATCTGACATGCATTGCCCCTCTTTTCATGGAAGCGGACAGTTAACACTGAAAATTTCCTCGACAGCCCATTTAGATTGATTTTATACCAACGCAAATGGAGTTTACTTGCGAGTAATTACGGGCCCTGTAATTTCCTTGCAATTTCGCGCAATACGAAAACTTGCGTGCAATTCTGCACAGTTGCGAGCAACGAAATTTCGATTGGAAACCCTAATTGAAAAGTCTAGTGGTAGTGACACACTGTAGTTTACTCGATCATGTATCGTAGTTGCGTGCTGATCGTTGGAGTACATACGGGTGTTTGTCTGGTACAATACTATCAGCTGTTTCTGGCTCCACACTGGTAAGTGATTTATGTACATTAGTACAGCATTTATGATTCTAGCGTTTACTTTAAAGTGTTAACAAGCTACCTCAAAGTATGAGGGAGGGAAACCCTGACCGCCATTAGCAGCTCCCAGATTTGCTTTACAGTGCCAAGTTTCCGCTATATACATTATAAATGTAACAAATATCCCCGAGTATTTTATCAGGGAAACCTGATACCTTATCTATATTCCTTTTAATAACTATTACCACTTTATGCACATTTCGTAACCAAATAAAAGATTAACTTTATCGTTCATGAACCTTGTAAATATTTATATATGTCCTAGTTGGGTGCCCGTCACGCCGGTCATCCTATTTGACCTGTAACCTTATGTTTCAATGAATAGTTAGTTAAGTGTAAAACCTCGCGTTGAAGAGACCTGGCTTAACCCCTAGAGGTAGAGAAGACAGAAATACAGTGCGTTTTCTGTAGTTAATCTTGACTAGGGAAGACTGGCATTTTGTGACATAAATTTTACGCTAAACTTTTTTAATTTCTTACGCGGAAAGGAAGACATAAAGAGAACAAATTCTGAAGTCAATTGTTAAAATCTTGATTTGAACGATACATTTTCTTCAAAAAGATTATTTAGACTTAAATGAATCGCTTAAATAATACAGGGGCGTATTCAGGAATTGGTCCAGGGAAGGCTTAAGTTTTATTTCCAGGGGGTGGGGCCTAAAACCCCCTGGTGTCCCGAATACGCCTCTTAAATCACATATTATAAGTTTATTTATAAGTTATTAGTGGGGTCTAAAACCCCCTGGTGTCCCGAATACGCCTCTTAAATCACATATTATAATAAAAGAGTATTACAAATTATGGCGGCCGGTGTCACGTTAAATAAGGCCCGGGCGTTATTTCTTGATCTGCCGGAGTTTACAGCAATCTTATTCTGAACAAGAAGAAAACTCAATAATTACTACATTTTAAAGTGAGTTACAATGTCAACGAAAACACTTTGTAATTGCGAAATATATTTTTTTTGTAATAAACCGTGGAAAGAAATATAAGTATTACTGATACTATCCAAATTTGAATTTTAAACTTCTTTATTTCTTTCCAAAAAGTACATAAAGAAAGAACCCTCATAAATTAAAAAAAAAATAACGCTGAGTAAACCTGTTTTAAGAGTTATCCTTTAAAACAGTTCAAAGAACGCTTTCAAAAATATAGGACAATGATATTTAAAAAACATGAAATCCGCAGCGAATTTAAGAAATTTTGAAGCTTGTTACAGATAAAAAGTGACAAGACCAATACATCTTGTCCTGTTTGTAAAATTATGATTAATCAATGACAAGAATTTGTATCTATCCATTTGAAGGAATTGAAGGATAATTTTTTGGGCTGAAATAAGTCAAATTACATGCAACAAATATGCAAGAATATGAGAAAAGATAACAGTCCTCTTCAAATTCTCATTTCGGTATAATATACTTAAGTGAGGAGGGTGCTGGAGTTTTTTCGGAACAAAAAAATGCTGATTTGAACAGAAAGACGTGCCGCAGACGATTTTTTTGAGATAAATATTTTTTCTGTTTGGCACTTATTTTTCGTTCCCTTAAGTGCTATTGAGGAGCTATTCTGAAATCTCACGGGGGTGCGAAGGTCCTGCCGTCCACCCCCTCCCCCCCTGTATCCGCCCCTGAGTGCATCCCCCTAATAAGAACGTGCTACTGTTAACTTATGAATATGCAAGTTTATTTGGGAAATTTGTCAATACTTATAAATACATACTACAAGTACAATACGCTTCGATAGTACATAATAATAAATGGTACATAGAAACATGAGTACATATAGCTTTAATTATTAATAGGAAAGTGTAAAATTGCACGAATGCTATAATTAAAATAAATATAAATACAATAAAATACTTAGCTTGGCAAAAAGCAATTTAGTTTTAATAAAGTCAGCTGAATTAAATATCATTAGTTTTACCAGTTTGAGATATTGTAAACAAATATTTTAAAATGCATGCTATAGGGGTTTAAAAGACAAGTTACAATATGAGTTCACTAGATGGCAGGACAAGAATTAATTACAATATTTAAATACTTGCTGAATACGACTAGTCGATAATCAACGAGACCACTACTGTTCTTACACCATTCGTTGAATTCAGTAAATTAAGTAAAACCTCGAATAACCATTTTTAAGCAGAAATAGAAAGCAGACACGACATAAGAATGCCTATAATGGACAAAAGTTATTTGGAGTCGAGGCCCGTCCATTTTTTCAAAAATCCCATTTAGAGGCGAAATTTTTAAATATTCTCATTTGTTGGCAATATTTTTATGAATTCCAATTTGGAGGCAATATTTTTAAATATTCCATTTTGGCGGCGTTATTAAAAAAAAATTCCCATAAAAAAGGGGATATTTATAAAAAATACCTGTTTGGAGGCGATAATTTTAAATATTCCCATATTGTGGCGATATTTTTTTAAGATCACAACCGGAGGCGATAATTTTAAATTTTTCCATTACGAGGCGATATTTTAGAATTTTTCCATTTGGAGGCGATATTTTTAAATATTCCCATTTTGTGGCGATATTTTTTTAATTCCCATCCGAAGGTAATATTTTTTAATATTCCCATCTGGAGGCCATTTCTGCGTCCTCCGATTCTGCTGCGAAGCCTCCATTTTTCTTCGATGTAATGTATTCTCCTCCAGCTGTTTTTATGCACATCCTAAAAAAAGTTAAACCTTGAAAAAAAGATTTTGTTGACATTATCAAATGCAAAAACAAAATTAATGAATATATTGTTGAATTAAATTTCAATGAATATTTTTGGGTTAAATTTTAATGAATACTGTTGGATTAAATTGTAATGAATATTATTGGGTTAAATTTAAATGAATATTGTTGGGTTAAATTCTAATAAATATTGTTGGGTTAAATTTTAATAAATATTGTTGGGTTAAATTTTAATGAATATTATTGGGTTAAATTTAAATGAATATTGTTGGGTTAAATTTTAATGAATATTGTTGGGTTAAATTCTAATAAATATTATTGGGTTAAATTTTAATGAATATTGTTGGGTTAAATTTTAATGAATATTGTTGCGTTAAATTTTAATGAATATTGTTGCATTAAATTTTAATGAATATTGTTGGGTTAAATTTTAATGAATATTATTGGGTTAAATTTTAATGAATATTGTTGGGTTAAATTCTAATAAATATTGTTGCGTTAAATTTTAATGAATATTGTTGGGTTAAATTCTAATAAATATTGTTGGGTTAAATTTTAATGAATATTGTTGGATTAAATTTTAATGAAAATTGTTGGGTTAAATTTTAATGAATATTGTTGCGTTAAATTTTAATGAATATTGTTGCGTTAAATTATAATGAATATTGTTGGATTAAATTTTAATGAATATTGTTGCGTTAAATTCTAATAAATATTGTTGGGTTAAATTTTAATGAATATTGTTGGGATAAATTTTGATGAATATTGTTGCGTTAAATTTTAATGAATATTGTTGGGTTAAATTCTAATAAATATTTTTGGGTTAAATTTTAAGAAGTACGAAAAAGTCGAGCAACTCAGTGCTTGGGATGCAACTGGATCCGCAACATTTTGGCTTCCTGGATCCGGTTTCGGATCCACGGATTCAGATCTAAGGGGGAAAATATCCACCAAAAGACAAACCTCAAAAGACGTATGAATTAATTTCTGAATGTATAAGCAAAATAAGAGAAAAAATTGAAGTAAAAATGTTTAATTTTTTTTTACATTTTTCATTCGTTATATGATCTGTATTTGATAAATGTTCAAGAACTGGATCCGCTTTCTTCCAAGGCGGATCTCAGATCCGTATCCGGATGAAAAAGAAACGGATCCCGTATGAATGTACCTGGTAGGTTCTCTAAGCTCTAGGTAGAATCCCTGTGGAAGATCAGAATCTGCAAATATTCCTCCATCTCGAACCATCCAGTACTTCCCGTTCTGACCTACGTAGGAGAATATAATTAAAGGGACTGTAAACGTATTTTTCAGTGACCAGTATCATATTCAATTCACAAAGGTACCATTACCCTGAAAAACTTAGTCTTATGAATAGTCTATTTTTAAATTAGTTATCTTTAATTTTGGTTTATCCATATATGTGAATTGTGAATTCTGTGCATATAATTTAACATTTTTCCATATAGAAAATGACCTAAATGTAAGTATTCTGTATTTGCATAATTAGTTCAGGTCGTGACACAGAATATTTTCTAGCTGGGTCTAAGCAATACTACAATAGATGTTACAATTTAATAGCATAGGGGGCCGGGGGGTGAATTCTTAATGCGGGATATAATAAAATTAAACAAAATTAGGCTACACGTATCATCAATAGACGTACTACATTTAAAAAATTATGTATTCCATTTAAACTTTTTTTTGAAAACACAAATATTTTAAGTTTATTTTTTTAAATAGTTTTCTGAAAGTAATAAATGTCTTACCCTTGAAATGAACCAGGCCAAGTTCTCCTCTCTCCACCTGAATAGTTTCATAAGTGGCCTTGTTGCACTCCAGCTTGACACTCCCACTCTTATATCCGACAAATCCTTGATCACTCTTCAGAACCAGGATAGGTCTAACACAAGGCACACATTATTTTACAATATTAATCGTATTTCGTGTTTTTAAATAAAATACTATTGACTGAAATGAACCTGTTAATTAAATAGAAGAAGAATCTAGCATTGTCCTCAATCTTCTCACAGTTAGCGTACAGGTGACCAGACTTCTTAGTTCCAAGATATTTATCTAAACATGTTAAAATTAGGATTTTTATTTACAGTAACCAGAAAACTCTGGAATAGGAAGTAAACTTTTAAACTTAAGTTATGACTTTAAACAGTTGAATGAACATGAGACACAGCAATTGTGCAATGTAAACAGACCCATTTCACGTAATAAGTTTAAAGGACCATACTGCACGCGTAGTGAATATGACATGCCTATCTATCAATGAAGACACACTTGAAATTACGTCTTTACATTCTCTTTAATTCAATATTTTAAAATCAATCAATCGATAAAATAAATAAATAAATAAAACAGTGACCCATCAGTCCGAAGAAAACAAATCTCTTTAAAATAATTAATATAAAAATAGTTGGAAAAAAATCTTAAGAGAGTATTTTTTATGGGAGATGAGCTATTTCTGAAATGTCTTGATGATTTTGATAAAAACAATTAATCTCAGATAATCTTTGAATTTAACAAATTTACTGAAACCTTATAAATACACTGGTATTCGTCATATATAATAAAATAAGTAAACCTCTTTCTCCCACCTTTCCTTCCACAGCAAATATCGATAAATTTTGATTCTGTTCCTATATAATAACAAAAAGACAATCTATCTATCAAATCAAATCATATTTTACGCGGATTGCTTATGGCATACTCCGGATGGGTCGGAGGTGTAATTCCTCCCCAACTCCGGGTTTTTAGTCCAACCAATATTTCAAATAATTTTTAGTTTTACTTAACATATAATTTACATATAACGCGTTTAAAGTTTTACATACAGTGAAACCCTTAATAACGAATACATGGAAAGAATTCATCAAATGTCGTATTCTTCACTTCCTGTTAATGAAATGTAGCAGATATTTAGTTTTTTAATTAAATGATTCTATGAAACTCTTTAAAACTGTTCCCGCATATTCATGGCTATTTATTTATTTTCGCAAATACTGAAATTTACGTAATATAGTATAAAACTTATTAAAAAATTCTCAGGACGACATTTGATAAATTCTTTCGATGTATTCGTTATTAAGGGTTTCACTGTAGCTTGTTAAGTTCACTTGTTAAACCGTAAATCTGCGGAGTAGAAGTAGTAGGACAGTTTAATAAGATTTTACTTTTCAAATGCTCCAACTTCCCAAATTTTTCAAAAGACAACTTTTAATGATAATTTTCCAAAAGGCAATTTCCCCGAAGCAATTTGCCTATGTGGAAATTATCCAAATGTAAACATTATCTTTATGAAATGGATGAAATGGATGAAATGGATGAAATGGATGAAATGAATGAAATGAATGAAATGAATGAAATGAATGAAATGAATGAAATGAAATGAATGACATGAATGACATGAATGACATGAGGGAATTGAATAAAATGAATAACTTGAATCAAGGTAAGGTAAGGCCATAAGGGAACACAGCGAATTCTTTAATTCACAATTTGGGGGGCTGTACGAATGTATAATGGTTGTTTGTCAACAAACGCATCCGGAACTGGACTTGAACCGAAACATGAAATTGAACCCAGTATTTTAAGAATAAACGGACAAACAAGGAAAATATCTATAAATAGATCTGCGTTAAAAAGAATAAATCCCTCCCAACACGAACTGACCTCTTTGCCTAGCCCCCCCCCCACACCCACTCATGTCGAAACTTTAGATATTGTTTCGACATTAGCCTAATTAGATTGTGTGTAAACAGATTGCTAAACCAGTTTTTAGCCCCCGAAACAAAGTTCATTGTGTATTCCAGAATTGATTTTTGTACAGTAAATAAATTCTCTTATGGCCCAGCTTCGGCTTGAATAAAATAAAATAAGGATGAAGTAAATTAAAGAAAAGACATGCATGACATGAATGACATGCAATTTATGAATGGCATGACATCGTTGAAGTCTAAAACCTTGACATGTTTAAAACGCGTGAAATATTAGTTATATACCTGCATGGTTCTGATATACCATGAGCCTGAGACAGGTTCAAACTCAAGCTGGAAGGTTTCATGATCTGAAATCTCCTCCTGGTTCGCTGTTACATCAACCCCCTGTTTTACAGATACGAACCTGGATAAGGAGTTCATTGTTAGGAGACATTTTCCGTCTTTTATACAGTGGTCGGGGATTGTATCAAAACAAAGAAGACGACTTTACATTAATAATACTTCGATCCCTAACAAACATTTTTCAAATTGCAAGTTTGAAAGTAAAGAGAACCTGTTAATTATTCAAGTTGTTAAGTGTTTCTGCTGTTTGATAGCTTGACAGAAATAAAATTGAAATGGAAAATCGTCTTTATTGTATTGATATAAACTTCGACGACTGTATAACATCTAAGTTAAAGTTACAAAGACATTGTCTTTTTGAAGTTTTCCATCTGATATTTTCAATAAGAGATTTTATTGGTTCTTCAAAAAATAAACTATAACCTCCGTGTTGAACAAATATAAAGTCGAAGACCTTTGATAATTTTAGTGACAAATTCTGCTGGATCAAATAGTTGAAAAAATAAACAAATAACCAGTTTAAGCGCCATAGGGATTGAAAAATTGTTGTTTAAGGCAAGAAATTAGTTACTCTACTTGCTATATAAACGTCATTTAGCATTCAATGAAATGTGTCCATCCATAAACAATTTGACAAAGCGGTCAGCATAGCATTAAGGGGGACTTATCCTAGGTCGGTCAACCCAGAACAGGACAATAAACGACCTTGGTACATGTGCTCTAGTGCTTGTATTGAGTATACCTGGAGTTTGCTGCTGCAACAAAGCTGGCTTGTGGCAGGGAATCCTCCAGGGAAAACAATTCATCCTAAACAACATGGCGACTTACATTTTTCGAGATTGTTCAGAGAATAGAGATTTTTGTTTTATTCCGTGAAAAAGAAAGGGCCCGAAAATATAATTTTGAGAGGCGGAGCTCAATCCTGTTTTCATTTTTTTTGTATCTACAGGTCATGGTACTTTGTTAGGGTTTCCATCGAAATTTTCGTTGAACGAAATTCGCGAAAATGAACGAACGAAATTCGTTAATTTTTGTTCAAAATTTTCCCGAATTTCGATGCATTTTTGACTTAATTTTCGCCAAAATTTTTCATTTCCGCAAAATTTTCGTTCGATTAAAATGGAAATCTTTCCATTTTTCATCAAGAAGAATTTCGAACGAATTCCGCGAAAGTTTCGAACGAATTTCGCAAATATTTCTAACGAATTTCGCGAAAGTTACGAACGAATTTCGTGAAACTTTCGACCGAATTTCACAAAATTTGTTTAAAGAACATTTTCGCAAAAATTTTTCTTTTCGTTCATATTTTCATTGGCTGAACGAAATTTTTGCAAAAGAGATTGAACGAAAATTTGGAAACCCTATACTTTGTCTGTATGTCGATTGTTAATAATAATGTTGAGACATGACTGCTTGACAAGAACTAATGAACGATCCATGTTCTTTTTATTAAAGTGATTTCAAGATTTATGCTTACAGAAACAATAAAAAAAGAAACCAATCTTTTAAATTTTGCCACTATGTTGGATTTGGAAAATGCAAATAATTTTGAAAGCGGTTTTCATCGCATAATTGGGGAAAATAAATGATGTTTTGGGTAAAATTAATCAAAAAGAAAAGAATAAAAACAGAGTTTTTTTATTTTTCGAAATGTACCTTAGTGACCATGTTAGATCTTGTTTTGAGTACAGCTCTTGATCCAATAGGAGATATGTACAAACCCTGCTCATCCCGTAGTGCAATATACCCACCATGATACTCACAAGCAAACAGACAATCCTGTAAAGGGTTCAGTTAATTTAAATATTAAATCAAAACAACTACACTGATCGGGTCCAACCTTTTTATGGTACCACGGGGAATTTGAAATTTGATTTGAAATTTTTGGAGGTTTTTACTTTTTAGTTATATTTAAATTACAAAAATTCTGCAAAAACTAAATTTATATCTAAATAATTCGACTTTTAGAACACAAAATAAATTTGTATATTAATTTCAAGCTACACATTCAATAAGCCTTTCCCGTTCAATGTTTAGTGAGATTACAGTGTTTTACACAGAGAACTTGTACATACCTTTGATAGGCTAGCCTGCAGTGTACCGTCCTTGCTTAAGTACATGTTATTGCACGTGTGTACAGCATACTTGTTGGATTCTTCCCTGCAACAATAAATCTTATTTGATTTTAAAATCATTTCAAAAATAAAGTTAAGGAAAAAACATGTATGGATGGAATATGATAACTGGAAGTTCAGGTTTTAATATTAGAATCATAAAAGTATTAAAGAAAAACTCAGATTATTTGAAGATTATTTGAAGGCTATTTGAAGACTAAAAGTTATTTTGAAGTCTATTAGAAGACTATTTGAAGACTATTTGAAGACTATTTGACGACTATTTGAAGACTATTTGAAGACTATTTGAAGACTATTCGAAGACTATTTAAGGACCATTCAAAGAATATTTAAGAACTATTCAAAGTATATTTAAGGACCATTCAAAGACTATTTAAGAACTATTCAAAGTATATTTAAGGACTATTCAAAGACTACTTGAAGACTATTTAAAGACTATTTAAAGACTTTTTGAAGAATATTTAAGCCCCATAAGATCTATTTAAAAAATGAGCTGAACCTGAATATTTAAGCCCCATAAGATCTATTTAAAAAATGAGCTGAACCTGAATTCCAGAGTGAAAAGTGTATCCTCTCCCCAGGGCACATTTTCTTCCACCTAAACAAATATTTTTCATTTAAAATCAATTGTCATGAATTTTTCTACAAAAAGAGGTGGATGGGATCTGGACATGGGTATTTGTTCCACTGATTTCTTTCCTAGACTGTATTTATACATAATCGGCAGGTTTAGTGCAGAACTAGTTTAAAGGGGAACAGAAACTTAACATTTTTTAAATTAACACACTAATGTTGAAAAATAAGAATGTTAAGTTAAAAATAGCTGTACAATTAGACAAACATTCAACAAAAATATTTTGATAGGAATCATTAAAGAATTTTATTTCAAAAGGAATTAAAAATTGAAAATTATATATAAGATTATAAATTTTACGTTTATTATTTACTTTGATCTTGGTAAAATTGTTTTTGAGATTTTTTAACACTTAAAAGTAACTTTTAGCTACAACCAACCAGAAGAAAACAAGGATTTTAATTACTTGGATTTCTGTTTTCTCGTCGGAAAGCCGAGCAAACCTCTTTCTGCCAACAGATCGTAGGTTAACCTGAAACAAAACAATAGTTTGATTATTAGTGATTTTGATGGGGTTTTGTAAATTGAACTTAATAAAAAAGTGGATTCTTTTTCGATTTTAGATACGATTTTTCAGAGACTGTTGGTGATTTTCAAATTAATAGCCGAAGAAAAAAAAAATTCTGTCTTACTCATCTTGATATTTTAATGCAAAATAAAGGGTACTTTCAAGAAGGCATTTTCCCAAGGGCGACTTCACAAGAGAAAATTTCCCAAGCAGCAACTTTCCAAAGGTTGGGTTAGGCCCTCTGAGGCGCCGCAGGCTCCAATGGGGAACCGAGCGCTGCGGCTAGGATTGACGAGCCGAGCGCCGCGGCTAGAACAGACTGAGGGCCGAGCGCTGCAGCTATGACAGACTTGAAAAGTTGCCGCTTAGGAAATTACACATTTGGGAAGTTGCCACTTATGGAAAATACCCTTGGGGAATTGCCACTCGGGGAAAATGCTACCTAACATCAATAAAGATCATTAAAAAAAATTCAGATATTTATTTCAAATTTTTTTCATATTTAACCTGTGGTCTTGCAGCTAGATGAACAAACCAAAGTTCGGCATCGCCTAAAATTAAAAATGGTTTGAAATTTTAAAAAAAATCTTCACTAGATCTGATGTCCATTTATTGTCCTTTATTTTAAAAAGTGCTGTTCATTGTTTAGATGATGGAAATAAATTAGATTTGTTAAATGAAAAATGACATTCACTGAAACCAGTGGATTTCTACAACACCAAAATTAATTGGGAGGGTCTCTCAGAATGTGTTTTAACTTATGAGGGGGCGTTGTTCTAATTAGAAACACATTTTATGAGAGAAATTGTTGAGTTCAAAATCGTGTTTTTTTTTCATGCTAATTTGCCCCTTTCTTGCAATCCCAGCCCTGAATTCCCCTCAGCTCAGAACTGAGTTAATTCATCGAAACTTGAATGGAGGGGAGCTCAGCCAGAATAAATGATTGACCGCAATTATTATATTCTGAGGTAGTGATGGTTACCTGGAGATTTGGCTTGACAGATAAGATTGTCCTGAGAGGCTCCCAGGAAATATCCTCGAGATAGAGATCTGACAAATACAATTTCAGATTTAAAATTTTAAGTACAACCTCAATGGGCATAAAGACATTTTTAGAAAATAAACAGATCTTGTTTTTTACTTTAAACAATTTAGGCTAGCATTGTATCATTTAAGGGAACTGAATAGCTGCTTAGATTTCCAATTCTTATATCTTTGCAACATGATCATGTAAATTGAAATAACAAAGGCTTAGGCTAAAGCCATTAGGAACAAGCGATACAGGGATTATTCAGTTCTTAATGTTAGTCTTATTGTTTTTATGATGCCCGATTCACAACAGTACGATTGAAACCGTTATAGGATCAATAATGTGGAAGAAATTGTCGTGTTTTCTGGTTAGAAAGTATTTTATTCTGATAATTGCTATCTGTTTACCTAAAGTAGAAATGCGCAAGTCATTCTTGTAAAGTGAAAAGTAAAAATAATTCATACTTGATCAGACAAAACCATTAGGGGTATTGTTGCGAATCGGGCATTGCCATCCTTGCATGAAGTTTCACTTGAAATTACGTTAACAGTCCCTTTAATCAAAGTTCGGCTTCTGTAAAGTTTACCTGAAGGCCCATCTACCAGAAAAATCATCGCAGACTGATACCTCGAATTTTGCTGTGGAGTCTGAGGAAAAAAGATTTTAAATCATTTATAAAATCATTGAATTTGCAAAATTATTCTTCGAATGTATTTTTTGGTCACATGAGTTAACAATGATTTTTATTAAAAACTTGTTAAATTTCGTGCTTGAACTTTAAAATTTCTTCAAGTAGTGAGTCACCTCATAGATTTAAGAAGTGAGGAAGGAACGATTAGAAAATTAGGTTCCATGAGTACAGATGACTCACGAAATATTATAAAAGATTTTATTAAATTTTAAGATTAAAATTGTTTGATCTTTTTAAGATGAAAATGGTTTAATTTATTTAAGATAAAATTGGTTTAATTTCTTTAATATGAAAATGATTTAATTCAAAATTGCTTCAGTTTCTTTAAGGTGAAATGATAAACTTTCTCCGAGAAAAAAAAAAGGATTTTATTTCGTCCAGATAAAAATTAAATTAAATTCAAGATGAAAAAAATTTCTAACCTTTTTCTTCATTTTCACACGTAACATTTCCGAACTGATCGACAGCTAGATACTTGTTCAGGTGAGATCTAAAAATAAAAACAAGATAAAAACTGCGTCGCAAAACAACCACAAACTAGTTCTAATTGAGCGTCGGCTCAAATCTCGAAACACTAAATACATTTTCAAGTGGAACCATTTACCAACCATGTTTGAGCCGCGGCTCAAAATCTTTAAATTAGGCCTCAGATTGATAAAGGGACTGGGACTGTACAAGCGTCTTTTTAAGTGACCCTTCATGCAATGATCCGATTCACACCGATGACCTTGGAAACTTTGTCTGAGCGAGTTTAAATAAAATATCAATGTTTAAATTTTCAAATTCTAATTATTTTCAATTGTGGTTTCTCTGTGTAAGTGATTTGCTCATTTCTGCTGCAGAAAAACATATAGGAATTTTCAGAATTTAACACTTTTAGTTTAGAAAAACGACAATATCTTTAACATTATTGATCAGATAAAGGTTTCAAGGGTATTGTTGTGAACCTAGCATGGCCACTGTGGGCCGGGGTCACTTGAAATTACGTTTACAATCCCTTTAATCCTTTTAAATGTCAATGTAGGACTAAAGTCAGATTAGACTGGATTAGATGATCAGTCATATTATAGGACTAACAAAGGCGTATACAGGAGACGGGCTAAGGTGGCTGAAAAAAAAACAAGTAATGAGACATATTAGACAGTAAGGACTAGATTATTTGAAATTTTAGATTATTGGACATAATAGGAAGAACTATATTATTAGACATAGCAGAAGAATAGACAGATTAGACAGACTTAGATTATTAGACCTGTTAGAGGACTAGGCAGAGAAGACAGAACTAGATTGTGCGACATATTCGATGACTAGAAAAAACTAAATTATTAGACATATTAGAGGACTAGGCTTTAAGTGCACTGTCTTTGCAAACAAAAACAAACAAAAATTTTGCGGATTTTATATAAAAAATGTTTCGTGGATTTTCAAAATTGTCAAAAATCGAATTTCTTAAATAGGCATTTTTTTGGAAATTCGATCATCCATAAACCTTCCCTGGTGTCATGTGAGGTCCCACACAAAGTTTGGGCCCGATCGGTTCAGCCGCTCCAACCGTTATTGGATTCAAACGGACAGACAAACAGGCAGGCAAAGTATATATTTAGATTAGACAGAACTAGATTATTAGACAACCTAGACTAGACAGATAAGACAGGACTAATGATTAGACGTATTGAAGAATTAAGACAGATTAGAAAAGGACTATTGAGGATTGGACTATTAAAATATATTAGACAGAATTAGATGATCAGGCATTAGTAGTAGGAGGATAATACCAAAAACTTAAATGCTAAAAAAAAAAAATACCTGAGACAGATTGAGTCTCCATCTCCATATGGTTCCAGAATCCAGACCTGAAACCAATAGCCAAATTAGATGAAAAAAAGAATAATCTGAAAGAAATCAAACTTCTAGAGCTGTCTACTTCCATTCCACAGTTTCAAGATGACTTAACTCATTTAAAATTGAAGCCTGAGTTTATGATTTGCATTGATTCAACGAATTACTTTAAGTCCAAATAAATAGTTACTAGGACTCAGTCCTACAGGTGGCTGGTGAACTGAATCCTTTCAAACAAAACATCCCAATCAGCACAGCTATGGTGGGTAGATCCCGGCAATTCATGGCTCACAGTTGGCTCATCAAATTAAAAAAACAAACAATTTAACTTATAATCTGATTTTCTATTACTTTCTAAAAATGATCACCCTAGGTTTATTGAGTCACAGACTTCAATAAAAAAGAATATTTCAATAAAAATATTAAAATTTAGAATCACGACCTTTAAATAATTATGTTTCCAAGAAGGAGAAATGAATAATGAGGATAAAAATCGAAATTTTATTATTGGGTCTTAAGATCCTAGATAGGAAGTAGTGCGATGACTTCCCTAATATACCAAATCTTGATTTGTAAACATAGTTTGGGACATTGTTTATTTCCGAATGAGGTAAAAAATATTTTAACCATGAAAGTTTAGTTTTTAACCTGTTTTTTCTTGAGAGATGAACCGTTTGCGTTCACACGAAATCCGAAGGTTTCAGCAGATAAGTATTTGTGTCTAAATTAATTTTGCTTTACTTCTTTTCAGTCTGTAGTCTCTTAAAAAATAAAAATGAGAATAACTCAAATTAAAAATGTCTATTTTAAAAAATAAAAAAAAATGAAAAATAAATCAGATTTAAAAACGTCTAAGGTCTCTTTAAAAAACTTAAAAAAATTAGATTAACTCAAATTTAAAACGTCTATGGTCTCTTTAAAAATTAAAAAAAATGAGAATAACTCAAATTTAAAAAACGTCTAAGGTCTATTTTTAAAGACTAGGCTCTTCTATTTAAATTGTGAACATGTATTTTTGTTTAAATTTTAAAACAAAAAAGAAAAAATTCGCGGATTTTCAAGAATTTAAATTTTTTTTTACAAAATTAAAAACCTTTAAAACGCATTTTTTTATTTTTATCATTCATAAACCTTCCCTGTGGTCACGTGATGTCCCACAAAAGATTTGGGCCCGATCGGTTCATCCCTTTTGACGTTTATTGGATACAAACAAACAAACAGACAGACAAGCCAAATTTATATATAGATAAAAAATGAGAATAACTCAAATTTAAAAACGTCTATAGTCTCTTTAAAAAATAAAAAAACTCAAATTTAAAAAACCTTGAATTTATGAGTCCGACAGTCCAGCTTCCTTTCTCCAGTACAGCACTAGAACCATTCATCCCAGTCTCACCGTTTCCATTCATCCCACCAGTCATCCCGTTAACTAAATACAGGAGATATCATTTATCCCACCAGTCATCCCGTTAACTAACTACAGGAGATCATTCATCCCACCAGTTATCCCGTTAAGTAAATACAGGAGATAATCATTCATCCATCCTGTCATCCCGTTAACTAGATACAGGAGAAATCATTCATTAAACCAGTCATTCCGTTAACTAAATACAGGAGAAATCATTTATCTAACCAGTCATCCCGTTAACTAAATACAGGAGATAATCATTCATTCAACCAGTCATCCCGTTAACTCACTACAGGAGATCATTCATCCCACCAGTTATCCCGTTAAGTAAATACAGGAGATAATCATTCATCCAACCAGTCATCCCGTTAAGAGAAATCAAACAATCAATTACCCCACAATTCATTCCTTTCCTTAAGAAATCTAAAATGTTTTGTTGAATTCCATTTTTTCTCGAAAAATACCAGATTGCATTAGTTTAAAATATGCATCTAATTATACTCCTGCAGTGTAGTTTTGTGGCATTCTCTACACTGGAAACAAACTGCGGTTGAAAAGTTGAAATACGAGGAGTTAATTAAAAAACTGTTAAATCTGTTAATTTTACATCCAGCTAAGGAGTGGGGGGGGGGGGGTAAAGGCATGGATTTGGGATATTCCTAAGAAGCAAAAAACAAACAATCATTTTTTTAAAATATACTAAAAATAAATGAAGACATTTGGCGGATAGCAATAAGACGAGTATTTACTAACGACTAACTATATTTGATTTCTAAAGTTACAAAGTTAATATGAATAAATATATCTTGTGGCTATCTGGAAACTCCCACTTCCTTCATCCTTGCCGCGAAAGGTTCTTCAAATGAAAGACGACTTTCATAGCCGCCACAGGAGTCCCCCCAGAAGGAACGGCGGAGGTATGGCGGAGCAGATCCTTCTACTTCTGGAAGATCTGTGAGGGTTCCGACGAACAGGAATAGATGGCGGAAGAACTTGGGGAACTAGTTTGAACCTGACCTTCTTNACTTACGACTAACTATATTTGATTTCTAAAGTTACAAAGTTAATATGAATAAATATATCTTGTGGCTATCTGGAAACTCCCACTTCCTTCATCCTTGCCGCGAAAGGTTCTTCAAATGAAAGACGACTTTCATAGCCGCCACAGACATCTCTCAGTTTAAGATTTAGAAGAATGCGTTTATTCCCGGTCAAATGAGAAGTTTTAAATTTAAATTATACAATCGTTTAAAGTCTCCGTCGCGATGTAAATTTTGCAAAAATGGATATAAATTATTGTTAAATTTATTGTTGAAAATTTCCTGATTTGAAAGTGGAAATGTCCATTATCAACCGTAATTGGGTAGAGGGGGAATTCATATTTAGCAAAGGGGGATTAACTGAAGGGGGGAATCAAAGAATGGGGGAAATATAGCGTAGCAGCAGAGCATTGAGAGGGAATATTTCTTAATTTTTACAACAGAAATATGTGCAAAAATATACTTGTTATTTTAATAATATATGCAAAAATATAATTAGTGCTATAATAATACGTATAAAAATATAATTAGTGCTATAATAATACGTATAAAAATATAATTAGTGCTATAATAATACGTATAAAAATATAAAACTTCAATCAAAAAAGTGTTAAAAAAGACAGATTATTTACAATATTAGTTTATTTGTATTTTACCAGGAAGCTTTCTTAGGCTTTTCATTCTCCAAATCTTATTTTATCTTTGTATATTCAATTCAGTCTTTTGTTTGTCTCCAAATCACTTATCGTTTAATAACTTTATTTTTATTTCACACAAAATAAGTGAAAAACGTTTTCACAAATCCAGTTGAAGTGTCAAAATCAAAGAAATTTAAAATTAGCTTTTTTCAAATTTAAAAAAGAGGTATATTCATGAAACTTAGAAGTTGACTGTCTTATCAAATATAGAATTATCATTTATATCAACACCCAAATATATATTGTGGCATTCAGAAACCGTAAAGGAGGACAAAAGAGGGGGGGGGTGGGTTAAGTGTTCTAATGATTTTTAAAAAACTAAATTTTCGAAATTTCTTTATTTTCAAACTGAAACTGAAATAGTTAATTTAAAAAAGCAAAATTTAAATTTATACAAAAATAGACTAGTTCAGCTGTATGGGTTACCCTGGATATAAATACATTGAAAGAATGATCTATTGAGAAGAATGAGAAAACAGTATGGCGACAATGAATTTGCAAAACCTGGCACTAAAATAAATTTCAGATTTAGCCTAAAGCATGCATGTTGAATTTATTTAACTATTCCACATTGTGTGCTTAGTTTAATTTAGAAAATGAGCTAAAAATAAGTTGTAAAAAACACCAGTTTATTATCATAAATCTTAATTGCAAATTTTCTATATTTTTCAATATTTGTCTATTTTGTCTATTTTTTCTATATTTTTCTTTACTTTTCTTTATTTTTCTTTATTTTTCTATATTTTTCTATATTTTTCTATATTTTTCAAAGTTTTTCTATGATTTACTATGTTCAGAAATAATACCGTAAAAGATAAATTTTTTCACTTAAAATCAAGATTTCCTAAATTCCTTGCTTTTATCTTCTTGAATTACAAATGCCCCCCCCCCCCCCCATCTTCCCCTGAACCCTGGATCTATACATATGGTGTAACATAGACTAGACTAAAGAATGACGCCAAGTATAGTAGGATGGATTCCAATCTGTGGAGGAGAATTGAATTAAATGATTCTTTGTGTGTTCACACTTGAGTAGACACATTGTAAACTTTAGATCCCCCGCAAAGTATCTTGCAGGTATATGGAGTCAGGAGAAATACGTCCTGGAACCATGAGACAGGAGAAACACAGTAGAACCAATAGACAGGAGAAACACATCCTGGAACCATGAGACAGGAGAAACACAGTTGGACCATTAGACAGGAGAAACCCATCCTGGAACCATAAGACAGGAGAAACCCAGTAGAACCAATACACAGTAGAAACACATCCTGGAACCATGAGTTAGGAGAAACACGTCCTTAATCATGAGACAGGAGAAACATGTCCTGGAACCATAAGACAGGAGAAACACGTCCTGGAACTATAAGACAGGAGAAACATCTCCTTAATCATGTGACAGGTGAAACACTTTCTGGAACCAGAAGAAAGGAGAAACACGTCCTGGAACCAGGAGACAAAAAACACGTCCTGTAACAATGAGACGGGAGAAACACATCCTAAAACAAGAAACACGTCCTGGAAACACGAGAGAAAGAGAGAGAGAGAGGAGTAACACGTCTTGGAACCATGAGACTAGAGAAACACGTCCTCAATCATGAGACAGGAGAACCCCGTCCTGGAACCATGAGAGAAATTTGTGCACAACTGATGTGGCTATCTGGAAACTCCCACTTCCTTCATCCTGCATGGGGGGGGGAGTATACCAATGGTACCACTGAGAGGGGGGCAGCAAATCAAACCAATCAAGGATTTTTCCAAGCTTTCTGATTATAATAAATGGTGGATTGAATGACTAAGTCTGATCGGTTTATGAGACGTCTCTCTCAATACATTAGAGAATCTAATTCAATGCTATTGAAGAAAATGCAAGGAAAAAATGAGCAAAAATTTTGAAATGTATTTTTTCTGAATCTTTTTTCTTCTCAGAAAAAGAGGGGATTTGAATGTTTACGATTTATTCTTTTTTTTTATGATTTCTTTTACCATTTAGTTTTTAAATCTTTTAAATGTCGGAAATATTTTCTGTTTTATTGGTGGATACAAAGTTTTTTTTATTCGTAAAAAATATTAAGGATTTTAAACTTGAACCGGTCATAAAGCTTTCCTTTATGTGAGGTACGAGGCAAAAAAATTGGGCCTGATCGACCATTTTGGAGTTTGCTGGATTCAAACAAACCTACAGACAAGCCAAAGATATTATAAAAAATTCAATAAATGTGGAACTAACATCTACTTTTTTACTCTACAGAGGTTTGGTTCATCACCATCACCGAATTTTAAATCCAGATATATATATATATGGACTGATTTTCTAGGTTTAACTTAATAAAATTAAAATTATCTGTCTGCAGAGGATAAGTACGTCAAGTATCGTATTTATCACTTTATACAGATTAATTTCTTGAAGGGAGTGATCGCGAAAACTCATATGGGGGTTTTAAAAAATAAATCATCACAAGATACTGGCTAATTTCTTTCTTACCGAAGTTTCAATTTGGAAAATTTTAAATCTACTAATCGATCTTTTTGATCCATTATAAAACATCCAAAGCTCCAAAAAAATCTGTGTAGATGTATATATATTTTTAAATACGAATATGGACTATTTTTTAAATTGTTTGTAAAAGAACAGCTGGTTTTGGTTTATTAAAATTCACAAAGAGATTAAAAAGAAACATTTTAATCGATGAAAATCATCAAAGATTTGTTAGTCAATCAATCACTCCAAATTTGTTTATTCTAATATTTTAATTATTTTTATTTCCCGCCAATATAGCTGCAATGTGTAAAACATGTGTGAAATATCAGTCCTGCCCCCCCATTGAGTTTTTACATTTTTCTACGCTTATAAATATTAAATTTTGTTTGATGTGTTTTCACTAGAGAAACACGTCCTCAATCATGAGACAGGAGAACCCCGTCCTGGAACCATGAGAGAAATTTGTGAATATATCTTGTGGCTATCTGGAAACTCCCACTTCCTTCATCCTTGCCGCGAAAGGTTCTTCAAATGAAAGACGACTTTCATAGCCGCCACAGACATCTCTCAGTATGTGGCATGCAGTCTAGATAAAGCAAGAGGAGCAAGCAAGGGGGGAAATAGAAGGGGAATAAAAAATACGTGTTAGGACGGAGGGGTAAGCAACAACAAAAAAACATAAAAATATTTATAAATTTGAAAAATTGGCGGGTGAAGGATTTTTGTAAGGGAAAATAACCACCCCTGAAAATGCATTCCAGTAAATTATCCGTTATTATACATTGTAGAATGTAACTCTGG